ACCTTTATGAGGCATTATTCCCTGGATGTCCGTAAGAACTCTAATACCAACATGGGACGTCACATTCTATCTTCAGCGATGCAGTAAGGACCTGCCAGCACCCTCCTCCAGGTACGCCACTGCTCGCTAATCTCCCATGGGTGTGAAGCACAGAGACCACGTCGAAGATGAACAGGTTGCTTACCTGTAACTGATGATCTTCGAGTGGTCATCTGTGCATTCACACCACCCGCCCTCCTTCCCCGCTGTTGTCAGCTTCTACATTTTCAATAGGGGTTGATTTGCAGCGGTTCGAAGAAACTGGCGAGATGTCCGCGCCCTCCCCTCTGGGCATGCGCAGTGGGGGTTCCTGTGCATGCCCGAGGTCTGGGTGCAAAAATCCGTTAAAGAGCTTGCTACAATGCCGATCGATCCAGCGCATGCGCACTAGACCCTATGGGTGTGAATGCACAGATGACCACTCGAAGATCATCAGTTACAGGTAAGCAACCTGTTTATTCATTGATGTGGTCTATACATGGTTTTAGAAGCCAGGATGGGCAAGGATCTAAGGTGTAAGTAGTGGCCTTCACAGATCCCAGGAGCTTGTCAACATCCATCATGGAAACTTGGTCTAAGTTGTCCATAAATGGAGCAAGTGGTATATTAGGCAGGTCTTCCAGTGGACCTATGTTACAGTCAGTATCTGAATCAGGGCATATTCTTGATACTTTATCAGCAAAAAAAAAAATCTTGCAAAAGAATCACAGCTAATTGTCTGGTCCTGATACAACAATGCCTCAGTTTTAAGAGTCAGCAGATGTCATGTTACCATAAAGATCTGGGATAGCCGTGAGCTAGGTGATACACTAGTTGCAGAGAAGTAACATTTCTTAGCTGCTGTCACTGCGGCTATATGTACCCTCTGTGTGTGTGCATATGTATGTATATGCACATCTTGTCATGAAAATTGGTAGTTCTAGAGCTTACTTCCAAACGCATCTTCTTCTTTGTGTGTGTTTTGTGTGTGTGTGTTTTGTGTGCTTGCCTGGAAGTCATGGTTGACTTCTGGTGGCCCCTACTGGGGGCTTGGGACATTTTTCAGAGAGGTGGCTTGATTAGCCAGCCTCTGTATCCCACCTCTGGTATTTCTCGGAGATCTCCCTTCCAAGTGCTTGCCTGGGCTATCCAGGTCAGTGACCAAATGCATCTTCTTGAATTACAAATATGCTGCTTCTCCAATTTCATGACTCTGTGAAGATCGCTGACCACATCAAGGGGTCTGCTACACCAGTGAACAAGCTAGCCAGATATACCTGAGATGGCTCATTGGATTCAGTCAGTTGTTCACCAGCAGGTCAAATAAAATTTGATTGTTTGCCGCATCTTTTTTATTTCTGTGAGATTGAAGTCTGGATGTGTCATTGTACTGCTGCATTGACCAATCACACCTCTCAACATCTTCAGAAACATGCTCCTGCATAAACGTGCTCACATCCTGTTTGATGGGAGAGAACTCCTGGACTGAAGCTAAATCCCTTTGTCCTTCCTGGTGGCTGAATATCTTTGTTCACTGTTTCTTCTGTTGTCTGGGGTATAGGAATTTGCCCAAATGTGTTGCTGGATCCTAACAGCACTGAAAATGTACCTTGCGTGAAATACCCATGGATATCGGTATTTGTTCAAGCAGAGCAGTGGTCGTCTGGACAGAACAGTATGGAATTTAGCAGGAAGGATGATGATCTAGTATCATTGCCCAGATGCATGTCAAGTGAATCATCCAGTCACCTTTTCATGATGCTCTAAATAAGCCCAGAAAAATTTCTGTCATGTCCAGACAGGATTCCCAGAATGCTGGCAGATTTCTGTTTTCATATTTTAGGTAATTATAGGAGTCTTCAAAGAGTTCCATAATCCTTGAATGTGATGGCTTATCAAGGATTTCCTTTAGCAAAGTTGTGCATACATCTTGGCAAAGGTTGCTTATGCTTTTCACCATTTCATTCATATACAGAATGTCTTCTCCATGAATGTCCTTCAACCATGATGGGACTTCAACCATGACTTCAACCATGCCACACTAAGTGCTTAATAAACTAATTTGTGAAGTCTGCATGGTTACAGTTGTGACCATCTGTTATCAAACCTTCTGCAATTGTGCTTGATTCAATCCATAACTTCCACAGTCCTGCATCTTGAAACCACTTAGTGATGGTTGCCAAAAAAGGGCCTATAAGTGTAAAGTACACCCATTCAAATTACGATTTTTGTTGTTCAGTCGCACAGTCGAGTCCGACTCTTTGCGACCCCATGGACCAGACCAGCCTTTCTGTCTTCCGCCGTCCTCTGAAGTTTGCTCAATTTCATGTTTGTTGCATCTATGACACTGTCTAACCATCTCATCCTTTGCCGTCCCCGTCTTCTTTGACCTTCAGTCTTTCCCAGCATCAGGGTCTTCTCCAGTGAGTGCTCCCTTCTCATTTGGTGGCCAAAGTATTTGAGCTTCAGTTTCATTATCTGGCCTTCCAGGGAACAGTCAGGGTTGATTACTTTTAGGATTGACTGATTTGATCTTTTTGCAGTCCAAGGGACTCTCAAGAGTCTTCTCTAGCACCATAGTTCAAAAGAATCTATTCTTCGGCGCTCGGCCTTCCTTATATTCCAACTCTCACAGCCATACATGACTACTGGGAATACCATTGCTTTGACCATGCGGACTTTTGTTGGCAGGGTGATGTCTCTACTTTTTATCATACTGTTTAGGTTCGCCATCGCTTTCCTCCCAAGGAGCAGGCGTCTTTTAATTTCATGGCTGCTGTCACTGCGGTGATCTGGGATCCCAGGAATGTGAAGTCTGTCACTACTTCCACGACTTCTCCTTCTATTTGCCAAGGAGTGATGGGGCCGGATGCCATGATCTTAGTTTTTTTGGTTGAGCTTCAAGCCCACTTTTGCGCTCTCCTCTTTTACCCTGAGTAAGAGGCTCTTTAGGTCCTCTTCACTTTCTGCCATTAGTAAGCTTAAATTTTCTGGATGCTTCCATATAATTTCTCCAGCTTTTGTGTTAAGTGTCCAACCAAACACATACCCAATCTTAGTCTGCAAGACTGCATAATGTTGATAGATGGGTTTGGGGCCGCATAAACAGTTGACATTTCAGTTGCAGGGGCATTTATTGTGGGCAAATAGCCAGTATTGTTTTGCACAACTGTGACATCATCATGAACAAGTATGTTAAAGCTGTCAAACTGTTATGTTGATTGGTCTTCATTGTTTGACATGCATGCCAAAGCCATATGAGATTCTTCTGCAAAGCAGGACAGAATGACATCTTGAGGTCTACTTCTACGCTTCAGGTTATTGGTAGATTCTCCCTTTTGCCACTGTAGTACATTGATAACATAAATAACTGGCTAGAAATGCTTCTTGTAAATAACTGGCTAGAAATGCTTCTTGTCCTGGCTTTCATTAAATGAGGCATTGTTTTGGGCTAATGAGGCCCCGTGATCTTTGGCTAGATGGCAATTTCATTGACTCTTTGTGATGTATCCTTGCCACTGAAAGTCTCCTTGCCACAGGTAGAGTAGGGATGGTAGGAATTCCGGTGTAGATATAAATAAGTATAAATAGCAACCAGACTATGGTAGCTCTAATGGGACAAATTTATAAACACAAAAACAGAAGACGCCACAGCTGAGGGACTCCAGTTTTGCAGAGAAATACTAGTTGGCCCAGCCCAACAAAGTCCAATTTATGTCAAATCCGGCCCTCATAAGAAATGAGTTCAGTACCACTGATGTAAGGGTTTGAAAGCTGGACAGTGAAGAAAGGTGACAAAGAAAGTTGATTAATTTGAAATATGGTGTGGGAGAGGTGTGGACTGCCAAAAAGACAAGTGGGTTGTAGATCAAATCAAGCCTTAACTTTCCCTAGAAATTAAAACAACTAAACTGACAATATCTTATTTGGTCACATTATGATAAGACAAGAGTCACTGGAAAAGACAATAAAGCTAGGAAAAGTTGGAGGCTGCAGGAAAAGAGCAAGGCCTTACAGTAGATGGACTAACACAATCAAAGAAGCCACAGCCTTCAATTTTCTTTTTAAAAAATAAATAAACACAATTGAAACTCTACAATAACAAGGTATGACAAGTATAAGAACAAATACAATAATGAGAAAAACTCCAAGAATAACATTTGCAGCAATCTTACTACAATAATAAAACCTGCAAGTGTAACTACTAATATTAATGAGTGTAGTAATAACTGCAGTTTTAGAAATGAGATAAGATTAAAAAATAGTGCAATCTTTTGACTTTTGACATAATAACATTACAGGGTATCATCCCCTTTGCTTTCTGCCTGTGGTCAACTTGGCCTCAGTGGCCTTGGTGGCGAAAAGCTTAGACTGGCACTCATCTCCTCCTCTTCCTTCCAGTTTCTTTTGCCAGGAAAGACCAGCTGGCTTCTCCTCATTTATAAATGCTATAAAAACTTCGGTATTAATAACTATAAGAAGCAATAATCAATCATCATTGTCAGTTGTCCTTCAGTTTTCAAGACCTGAGGAAGCCTGTTAACGATAGGGTTATCCAGACTTCCATCTCACAGGAATAAAAAAGATGAGGTAAACATTCAAATTTTAATGATAGGGTGTTTGGAGGTCATTAATTCATAGGGTCACCATGTCAGAAATGACTTGGCAGCCCTTGACATACACAAACAGTCCTAAATAGATGAAATATATATTTATTTGTTTGGAATTCTGTTTGTATATGTATAAACATGTTATTAGCATAATTATGAGGTGAGGGCATAATGTGATGGGGAAGAAAAGTATTCTGTTTGCATGTGTATTCTGTTTTCACCTAACAATTACCAGTTTTGCTAAGCTTTATGTTTTTTTCACAGGAGAGGAGCTGTGTATTGACCTCATGGAAGGTTGTTCCTTGGTTTGTCCCTTCGGTTTCCAGACTGATGACCGCAACTGTAAGATCTGTCAGTGCCGACCACGACCTAAGAAATGCAAGCCCATAGTATGTGACAAGTACTGTCCATCTGGATACCTGTACGTATTCTTACATTAAAAGCATATTTGTATTATTTTGATTACCAGTCTAGAAATGCAATTCTTGAGAAAATAAACAAAAGGGGAGTTTTGTACAGTGGTTCTCCTGTCACCGTTTTATTTTCACACCCAATTTCGTAGGCTAGTCCAAGATAGTCCAGGGTCTTCCAGTGAATTTAGTAGGGTCGGAAAAGTATATTAAAGAACTGTTTATGCATCTTCTTAACTTAGTTTAATCTTCCCAAAAAGTGTATCCTCTAATCAATTAGTAACTATCCTGTTTTATGTTGGAAAATGGAGGGAAGGTCTTAACAGAATTGAATGGTTCTCCTCATGTTGCTATCTATTCATAAAGAACTAACAAATTTATTCACTTTGATATATCCTCTGATAGTTAAGTTAGCAAACTCCATCTTCAGAAAATTGTGACACTAGTGATTATCGTTGTACCTTTCCCGTTTAAAGGTATCACTGCCACCTCCTCCACTTTACTTGAGGTTAGCAGGGTTAAGTATCTTAATTTTCAAATGATTTTGAGGTCATTTATGCTTCTTTTGCCAACTACAGGAGATTAAATTTTAAACAAATTGGACAGTTTGGGAAGCAGTAAGAAGGATATCATAATAGACATTATTACACAGTACTACCAAGGCAGATTTTAGAGTTAAATTTGCAAATGGAGGTCAAAATAAATGACAGATGAGAATGAAATCTCTAAACAGCCAGGACCAAGATACATAAATGTCTCTAATATAAGCCAGCCCATTAGCTGAGATCACCTTCAAAGGCCATGCTTTGTGTTCCCCCACTTTCTAAAGTAAGGGAGGTGAGCACTAGAGGCAGCCCCTTCTGTAATGTAACACCAATTATGAAACGCCTTTCCCAAAGTAATTTGCTTCTTGCCATGCTTGTTGAGTCTAGATACTCGGCAAAACTTTTTTTCCTCCTTGGCCTTTTACTTATTTCTGTTCTTTGTCATCTCTTGCATCACACTGTTAGGAACTTCTAGACCTGGCTATTAGGCATGAAAATTCTCTCTCTCAGAAGCACAGTCTTTACTGTGCATGCTCAAGATGAAGGAATCATGTATTAGGGGTGATTGTGTCAACAGCCTGGGCCGCTTCCGTATTCCATACAGCGATCAGGGCCTCAACAGAATTGTCAGCAGCTGAGGTGCAAAAATCCCCACATGCCAGGAGGAAACCATTGGGTTTAGAATTTATTGAAGGAAATATAAGGGTATAGGAACTGAAAAGGTACTCAAGTGTATAGGGTTGCCAAGTGAAATTTACTCACCGGCGGGGGAGCTTCGCTGCGCTCTGGGAGCTGTCCCTCGTCGTGCGCGCACCGCCAGCACATCACCAGAAGTGACGCGCAATGTCGATCACGTTGAGGTCGTGGCCCCGATCGTCGGAGGGAAAACCATAGAGTTTTCCCTCCGACGATCGGGGCCACGCCTCCAACGTGATCGACGTGGTTGTGTCACCTCCAGTGACGCAGCCACGCTGCGCTTCGGGGGGCGGAGTTCCCCCCAGGGCCCGATTCCGCGGTGGCGGAAATCGGGCCTTCAAAGCGGGGGTTTACCCGCCACCCGCCCCCACTTGGCAGCCCTACAAGTGTAAGAACAGTAAAATTATTGTATTCAGAAGGATGTACGTATGAAAAGTTACATGAGATGAGAGAAAGAAAAAGTGAAAGAGAACTGAGCCGCTAACAAAGTGAGAACTGTACCAGAGCATGGTCACGAGGGGGAGTGGGGAAAGCAGAGTTTTGAGGGGAAAAGAAGGGGAAAGGAGAATTTTTAGGAAGAAAGGACTGAACAGGGAAGGAATTTTCCTAGTTTCAGTCTCCTGAGCTGGGTAAAACATTATCTGTTTAGAAGATCTAACGATTCAGTGTAAGGAACCTTTAGGCAGAGCTTTCAAAGGTCCCAAGAGTTGCTGGTTCCAAAAAAAGAAGAGTGGGATTGGCAGCCTTTGAGCCAGCAGGGGGGTGAGACTGCACATTTTTGGCTGACAGAACAGCGATAGTTATGAGAGCCAGCACAGAAGAATAGCAAATAAATAAGTGTAATATGCTGGATTTCCTGACTCTTGTTGAGTGGGCGGGGGGGGGGCCCTCCCAGAAAGGTAACAAAAGGTGATTGCATCCCAGCAGAGTAGACAAAAGGGCTGGCAGGGTTGGAGGTTTCACTCATGCCTGAGGCAAGTTGGAAGGAGACATTCAGGCAAGGCCTGTGAAAATAACTAAGTCATCTGCCTTCTTGTTAGAATTTAGATTTAGTACTCAGGAAGACTTGCCCTTGCTGGTTAAAATATATTGATCGATTAAGGTAGATGCCTGAGTTTGCAAGCCCCTATGGCACTGGGTAGATACATAGATGTCCCATCAAATAATCAGTCTCCCACCATAGTTTTTGGGCATTCTTTAGCATAGCCTGAGGAGAGTTTTGATCTCACCTTCCGAAGCAAGGCGTTGCTAGTTCGTAAACTGGCTGCTAAGGTGCATTTAGCCAAGATGGAGTCAGGGCAGACAGCACACATCTAGGAAGAGGGTGCCCTAGTAACAGTAGGGCAGGAGAAGACAACCTCTGGCACAAATGCCAAGCAGTGACATGCTAGACCATGTTAGTCAGCATACAGGACTGGTTCTTCACCCAAAGTGAACTCCTGAGGCTAGGGTTGCCAGGTGAGGCCAATAAGCCAGCGAGACTTACCAGGAGGCTCTGGGAAAGGGGAGGGGGAAAGTGTGATTGAACTCCAAAGCGAGTTCCAGGTGAGCTGCCATTGCATATAAAGGGATAGTGTTCCTTTTAAATGCCTTCCCTCCATTGGACGCCGTGGTCAAGTCTTCAGGAGACGGGGGGGGGGGGTTGAGGAGAGGCACCAGCAGCTATGATGAAAATTTGGTGCCTCTACCTCAGCTGGGGATTGGCAACGCTACCTGAGGCACTGGCAGCACTGCTGGGGCTCAGCTTACTTTCAGTATATCTGGCCAAGTACAACCCTTATCTTCCCCTCCCCCTTTTGTTTATCAGAATGGCAACATCTTCATAGATAACCATTGGGGGGGGGCATTCCAATCAGAAACAGTGCCTAGTCCTGTTGCAAGGAGAGGTCAATGGGAATAATCTGAGGGGAAAATAACTACATAGGGAAATCATCAAAATATTAATAACTTTTAAATCATTGTACATGACAGTGACTATAACTGAACAGAACTTTTATGTATAATACTGTTAAATCCTTTCATTAAAACATTGTTGTTTCTACTTATAAAAACTTACTAATTCTAGAATGAAAAGTAAAAAGATTAAATTGTAGCTCATAAAGAATGCATTTTCTGTGATACGTAAATCTTGTTCACTTATAGAATACAATGGCATATTTATGGAGGGTAAAACATAAAAAATACTTACTACCTTTTAGTAGTTCTACAGGAGTCTGTGCTTTGATCCCAGATAAATAGAGGAGAAATTGTGATAACTAGTGGGGATTTATCTTCCTAATCAACATCAAGCTATATACAATAGTCAATTAATGTTGCTTAAATTGCTTAATTGTAGTAGAGAAAGAATACAGAAGGGGTGAAAGAGATTATACATCATATTTACGCATATTGAGAACAATCATATTTGACATTGTTGTCCATAAATTATATGTTATTCTGGAGGCCATTCTGATTAATAGCAAATAAAGAATCCAGATAAAACCAGTTTCCTGGCAGATTAATTATTGACTGTCTACATAAGCATGCAAAATGCTATGAGCATATTATGTACTTGAAAGTATATCTGTTTAGATTTCTTCAGTGGCATTCACATTTTTTCATATTTGCCTTTAAAGCTACCATGCAACTAGCTAAACTATAAGATGGTGATCATATTTTACATGGTGATTTTCTTTGACTGTGACAGACCAGGGAAATACTCAAAAGTGGTGTTGCAATACTTATTCTAATTTTAACCCTAAAGTATTACTGCTGGTGCAAAGGGCAACCAGAGTTTCTTCATATACTAGCTTCTCCATTCACTCCATTGGGAACTGCCACATACGTGGACCTGTCCTGCTTGTTGAACTCTCTATATAGCCACATGCAAAGTGTGGCTGGAGATGGCTGCCAGTGTGCCTGTTTTAAACATTCAAAAGCCAGAAATTAATCATAATTTACCCTAAGAAAGAGCTCCCATATTTGGAAAAAATCTGGAATCAGCAGTGCAGTAAACTAAAGTGTGAAGGTCACCTTCCCTATCCTTAGTATTCTCAATCAGTTCAAGGCAGTTCAAGGTAGACAGATATCTGTGAGAACAGCAAATATGAGAACAATATTTTCTATTTTGGTTTGCTTACCTGAATGTAACAGTTTCTCTGATCAGCAAATCAGAAGAGTTTTCCAGTTTACGTTAACATTTGTTGTAGACTCATAAGTTCCAAAACACACTGGAGCTTTCCTGCCTACCAGGAATGGCAGTAGAAGGAGACCTTCTGTGCATGCTTGAATATGAAAGCAAAAATTGAAAGGGCTAATCTGTAGAGACTACTTGGGGATTTGGATCCCATGCATTTTTTTCCTTTTCTTTCTATTACTGTCCTTCAGAGATTTCTATTCACTTTTCCTAATAAAAATACCTGGAAGCATATGAATTATTTTAATTTAAAATATTAGCATCAATTTAAGATGCTCTAGCTTCCCTTCTGAGAACTAAACTTTTGGACGTAGTGTACAAAGTTATTTGTGCACATTAAATTAATATTACTAGTGTATGAATTTTTTTATTCAAATCCTTACATTTAACTTTACTCAGCACCTCAGGACTTCTGTTTGCTTTAGGCAAGTAAATATACTATAATCTAAGCTCTGAATATGTGTACTCAGTTGGTGGCTGACAGAATCTGTACAACTGCTTCACTAAAGAATAAAACTTATTTTGTTGCTATTAAGAGCACGTACACAGCTTTAGAATGTTATTGCTGCAAATATACTAGCAATCCCTCAGAAAA